ATACCTTCTCATTTTATTCTTCACACTTTGTCGGCAATAAGCGACTTTAGGTTTTGGTTTACCCATTATCTATGACTACAAAAGACACGGAAAATTTAGGGATATAGATATTTTTTTGTAACTCGATTAAGTGCCAAGTACCTAACACACACTTGTTAGAGCAGGTAACACAGTCAGTACTTATACATATATAAATGTATGAAATCAGTCGGCTAGATCGATTAATGGGCGGAGTTAACTTGTAGTTGCTCGTCTGGCCATATAGACCGCTCGTGCCTAGATTACATTTTGCTCTAATTTTTTGGAAAACATGGGTTTGTATTCTACACATTGTGATTTAACGCTGCGAGATAAATATGTGATTTTTTGTATGGTAACAGACAAAGGTTCACACTACCTCGGTACAGACGCGGTTTTCAATAATTTGATCATTAAAAGTTGTTATAGGTGCTTAAAGTTGATGCATTTTACGGGACGTATATTTCCAATAGAAATGAAAAATTAAAAAAAAGGCCTTTGACAGGCGCTAGAACAAAGCTTTGTTTATCTTGCTACAAAATTTCAAATCTCTATTTCAAATATTAAACTCATGCTATGCAGAATAGATAAGCATGCTTTTACTCTACGGCGCGAGTACTACTGAATCCCCTTAATAGTTCCCTGTACCTATCTCTAGTTTTTGAACTGGTAACTGGAAATGTTAGTAAAGTCGACTTAAAATTAAACAAAAAAAAACAGAAATTTAAAAATATACAGGGTGTCCCATTTAAAATAACGAAGTTAGGTAGCACCCAAAATATTTTCTGTATATGCACCATATGATTCCAGGCCACCTTTATAAAAGCATTCTTTTATATGTATAATAGAGTTAAAGACGAAATCGCCTTGGATGGAACACCCTGTATATACAATTATTACTAATTTATTAACATACGATTTCTCAAACTGAATAAGTTACTCAAATGACAAATATTATTATTATAGAAAAATGTTTGCTTGTCGTTTCTTTAATTATTTATTACATCTTTTGCAATTATCAGAAATGGTGAAAACTTTAAATTCTATTATTATAAAATTCTTACCATGAAGACATCAAACTCGTCGAGAATATAAAAAGGAAATTCCATGCATTGCCATAAAGAATACAGAAAGGCAACTGTAGAAAAAGATTTTTCTCCACCAGAAAGATTCGATGTCGAAGTATATCCTTGTGACCCTTGCTGAGGAATAACTATAAGGTTTAATGTTTTGTTCTTGAAATCAATTTCTACTTCACCCTAAAAAAATACATAAATGTTCAAAATTTCACGTTTCTTAAATAATACTACAAGTTTGGAAAATACCTTAAACTGTCGTAATTGAAGAAAACGTAGAAAAGAATTAGAAAATATACTTTTAAAATAATTTTCTATATTTTTATAAATCTTTTTTCTCTTTTCAGAAGCTATTTGCAGCTGCTTAACATCACTTCTTAAAGCATCTAGTAATTCGGAGTTCTGATTGTGCTTTTTTGTTGCCTCATCAATTTTTTGTAGAATATATTCAGGTTCTTCAACACTAGACTCTACTCTTCTCATAATATGATTTATTTTATCCATATCACTCATTATTTCATTAACATCTCTAAAATTAAGTAATGACTTTATGGAAAACACTTCATATATAAAACTAGTGTAATTGTAAAAAGAAATACNATTTATTTTTTATAAATTAATAATGTTTAATGATAATGTTTATATACCTTCTCATTTTATTCTTCACACTTTGTCGGCAATAAGCGACTTTAGGTTTTGGTTTACCCATTATCTATAACTACAAAAGACACGGAAAATTTAGGGATATAGATATTTTTTTTGTAACTCGATTAAGTGCCATGTACCTAACACACACTTGTTAGAGCAGGTAACACAGTCAGTACCTATAAATAATGTTTAATCATAATGTTTATAGGAATACCTTCTCATTTTATTCTTCACACTTTGTCGGCAATAAGCGACTTTAGGTTTTGGTTTACCCATTATCTATGACTACAAAAGACACGGAAAATTTAGGGATATAGATATTTTTTTGTAACTCGATTAAGTGCCAAGTACCTAACACACACTTGTTAGAGCAGGTAACACAGTCAGTACTTATACATATATAAATGTATGAAATCAGTCGGCTAGATCGATTAATGGGCGGAGTTAACTTGTAGTTGCTCGTCTGGCCATATTGACCGCTCGTGCCTAGGTTACATTTTGCTCTAATTTTTTGGAAAACATGGGTTTGTATTCTACACATTGTGATTTAACGCTGCTTAATAAATATGTGATTTTTTGTATGGTAACAGACAAAGGTTCACACTACCTCGGTACAGACGCGGTTTTCAATAATTTGATCATTAAAAGTTGTTATAGGTGCTTAAGCTTTGTTTATCTTCCTACAAAATTTCAAATCTCTATTTCAAATATTAAACTCATGTTATGCAGAATAGATAAGCATGTTTTTACTGAATCCCCTTAAACGTTTATTTTCTCTAGAGCCCTACCCCAACGAGCTAGACGCGCACCGGCAAAATGCTAAGTAGGAGTAAGGAGCTCATTCTGTTCTCGACTCTTGCTTGTTAAACAAGTTTTACTGTAAGCGTACTGTATAGATGATACGCATGTCGCTAGCAGCGAGTTAGACTGCAGGTTGTCTCCTTTCTCTTCTGAGCTAGTGCCGTTCTTTTCTAGTTGGCGCAGATCGGCTAAATTTCGGCTCTAGAGAAAGTAAACGAAATATAGTATATACTATTACATAATTTGGGGTTCTTTTAAATGTTTTAATACGCGCTTAGCTATTGTCCAGTGATCCATACCACAATCATTATTGAATTGGTCAATGTTGTATTCCGGGCTGAAGGGCCGTGGTCTATTTGGATTATCTTATTTTGTCTATAAGTGCAGTAGACATTTTCAAAGGCGATATGGTAAACGACGTAGTGTTCGCTGCCATGGATGAAAATGTATATCGCAGTTCTAGACGAAATGTTAGGAGGTAATCCAAACAGACCATGGTCCTTCAGCCCGTAATACAGTACTGATCAACTATCATTCAATTAACTATAGCACCTGAAATATAAGCAATATTCGGATGAGTCGCATTGACGAGGTTTACTAATACTCCAACCAATTCTTGATAAGGAAATCCTTCCCTTTCTAGTCGTTTATCTTCTGTTTTCGGGTGCATATTTTCTTTTTAGCCTTAAAGTTTTGCTCAACTGAGGTTGATGCCGCTTTTACGTCTTTCATATTAAACTTAATAATCATTTTTTTTGTTTAATCTTATTCGGATACTACCTAAATCACCCTTTCTATTCACATTAATGCCAAGGATCTTATTTATTGGACTGAGATCTGTCATTTTAAACTGGGATTTAAACTTATTTTTAATTAAATTCAATTTTGTAATATATTTATATGATAATATTAAAGCATCAACATAAATAAGTATTATTACTTTATCGTCCTTTTTCACGTAGACACAATCNAAAGAAATACGTGCATTTGCCGTTTTTTTACCTTAATATGCTAAGTCTTTCCCCTAAGGCGGCAGCTTGTTCTATGTGCTTATTCACATTTGCTTTTGTTGCCAAGTATTCAGATTGAATTAATTTGTACTTAGCTTGATATTCGTTTAATCTTTCTTTTGTACATTGTATATTTACCAGCGATTCGTTACGTTCGGCCTTCATATTAGCTAACTGTTGCTAAAAATTTAATCAAAATTGTAAAGTGATATTTAAGACAACTCGCACTAAAGCAATCGTTTCACTGAGTTACTTTTATATAAGTTTTAAAGAATTTCTCTCAAAATCAATGTACTTTTTAAACGGACTTTAGATAAAATACGCTGCCAAACGTACTAAAGAAATGGTATACATTGAAATCTATGTTTGCTAGATTTGGCATTATACAGCGAGAGGAATGTGGAAGAGGCAGGAGTAGAGGAAATTATGAAAAAAATACATTCACTGACAACAAAACTACAGACCAAACCTGATTAATAGAGAACGCGTAGAAATTTGCAGAGTAGATGAGAAAATACAAAAAATATTTGGAATATATGTGAATTTCTCGCGGTCAAGGAAACTAAAAAACCGGAAGAGGATAACATTTCGGAGTAAAATTATTATAATCATTAGTTTGCTTAAAAAATTATTAGTTGCTGGTTTCTATCTGTGTTTTATAAAAAAATTGGTTTTGAATGTTGTGTTGGGAACTGAGCAACGAAATCGACAACAAAGGTGGGTTCTTCTTGTTCTTATTCTCTTTGTTATACTTTATGAGTTACTTTTTGTAATACTATTTTACAGTTTTGTATTTTGGCTTACATATAATTTTATGTTTGTGACGTTAATCGCTAGTTCATTCAGGTTATTTGTTAAATTAACTTTCAGAAGGATCATATCCCATGACTAATTAAATTGTTTCCATACAGGTTCATTTATCATAACCAGGGGCGCAACAAGGGGGGTCCACGGGTGCCTGAGCACCGATTCGATTAGGTTGCACCCAGTCAATTCCAATCGATTCAATAAATAGTTCAAGCTCTTAAATGAGCAGCCGAACTCGATCTTTTCAAGTTATACACCCCGCAGTATATAAATATTTACAGTATTATGATGGGAGCACCCAGTCAAACTGTAACGTTGTTGCGCCCCTGATCATAACCTTGTATTTTATTTTTCTTTTGGCCGTTTCATTATTGTTGAGCAAATGCTCATAAAACTTGCGATTTTTACCATGATGAAATTTATATATTTATTTCATATTTCTTCTTTTACGCATGAGGACCTGTGTTATTCGGTTGATGCTATTCTCTACACCATGTTGTGACACAGAGGGTACGAAAGAGACCAGCGGAGTAACGGATGTAAGTGTCAAAACTGCGCGAAGTTCACACAGGAGCTCCAACATTAATTTTTTGATTTTTACTTAGATTTGTTTTGTGTATGCAATATTTGTTTTATATGTACACTTGCGCTATGCGATATTTGTTTTAAATACTTTTCGTAATTGCGCTCTACAAAATTATTTAGGAGTTTCCCTGCCCTAAAGTGAATGTTCTGATTGAAAGATTTTTTTAACAAAGTAATTTTTGTTTTACTTTCTCGATATTGGCGTATCTATATTTGGTTTTGTTTTTATAATTACTTTCATGATATTGACTTCTTTTATACAAAATTATTTGAGTTACTTATTTTGATATTACCAAAATATTAACATTTATTATAAAATTTAACCAATTATTATTTTTTTTTACAAATTAACTTATTTTAACAATATAGAAATATACATAATAATTAAATATTTTTCTCACATAAATCGTTTTGGTGATTTTATCGTCTCCCGCTACTTTTCAAACTGCCGGTGTTTGTTTTTTTTTTTAGTACGCTTGACCCGAGTTGGTTTCGTCTCAATATGAGTGAAAAATGTGATACCAAATGAATGACTGTGATGAAAGTGCAAATCTTTAAAAAATGAAAAGGAAAAAATGTAGTAAGGAATAGAATAGAAAGCCTCATGGTAAAGTGCAGAATACTAGGTAAAACGCAATTTAGTTTTAGGAAGGGAATGGGAACTTTGATGTAATATTTACATTTAAAATTATGATACAATGTCACACCTTAAGAGAAAAAGAAAAGATGTGCGTAATATTTGTTGAATTGAAAATGGCGTACGATTCCATTTCCAAGAAATATGGTAATGAATGTGGGGGAAATAATGAGAATTAGATGTAGGGAGGGAGAAATATAAAAAGTCAAGATATGCAATAATAATGAGAGTGGTATTATCGGAATAAGTTAGATAGCGTAAGGATATAGATAAAAGGGCAAGGTTAGAATGGAAAATCACTGTATGGTAGGTATGTATTCGATGAAAGAGGACGAATGAAAGTGTGGTATACGTTACAGAGGAGAAGAAACGTTGGTGAATGTACCTACTGTCTTAATTAAATAATAATTTCCTTAATGTGGAAAATAAAGTACTGAAGAGAATTTTAAAGAATAGTAAAATTCAGCGTTTTGTATACGACAGGGTGGCAGTGATTGGGTTGGAGTACCTAACCTATTTATTTTTATACAAAAAATCCCTTTTTTAGTTGTTTACGTTTAAATCGAGAGCTAACGAAAGAAACAGGATATATTTAATAGAAAAGTTGGAGATAATTAAAAAGCCTTTAAAATGAAAGGTGAAACAAATCAAAACCTGAACAAACCCACAGAATGTATCATTTTTTTAATAAATTGGTTTTGACATTGAACGAATTTGCCTTTTAGATAATTATTAGCAGAATACGTGTAGAAACCGAATTCTGTAGACTTATATGTTTTTAATTGTAGCGATTTAATTTTTTGTGTTGTGTAGGCATGCACCTTATGCTTCCATATTTTTTCAATTGATAAAAAAAACAAAAAATACAATACATTAATTTTTTTTCTGAATGCCCAATATAAACTGTGAGGCTCAATTTTGGTTTAACGTTAGCCATAAAACAGTAATATAACTGGTGAAAATTTCAACACTGTGGGTCATTTTTTGCGGAGGTTATGATTTTTTATAATTTGAGTTGCAAGATTTTTTTCTATAAATTAAATTATCTCAAAAACTATTCATCGTAGACATACAAAATGGTTATCAAAGTTACCTTCACATTTTGTTTCACACGAATTCGCGGTGAAAAATATGCCATTCCATTTAAAATTACAAAGTTGGCATCAACTTCCGGTATAACCAGAAGCGGCCAACAGCTGAAATTATTTTAATTAACAAAATCAGCCCCTATAACCCCCATGCTAAATCTTCAGATCTCATACACTTTTAGTTTCCCTAAAATGCGTAATGTACCACTCAATTTGAAGAACATTGTATAATAAACAATTTCTAGTTTTCAAAACTGGTTTTAAATTTTTGTAGGAGCAAGACAGGATTGTGTCGCGTCTTATTTAAAAGTTCTTTTGATCATCTACAGTTTTTCCATTAAGTGTAACCCTCTTCCTTCAATTGGTCACTTTAAATAAAAAAGCTAAAAAGCACATATTTTTCATAAAAAAACTGTTTAAACAAATACTTCAACTATTACACCAAGTATCTAACTGCTTCAGAGAATTATTTTTTCATTTACGTGTTATACCTTAATATCTGGAAGTGTGATGTACAGAAATATGTACGATATATCTGATGGTATAATAGTTGAAAAGATAGAATGTTTCCTAAGTTTATGTTTTTTTTTTTTAAAGTAAAATACGAATATATTAGTTTAGGTATAGTCAAGGATTAGTTATAAAAACTTTCTGGAATTTAGGGATTACGAATTGAACAGTTAATTTTTTAAATGTATTTACGTTGACGGGGCGATGTGAATATCAGGAATATAAGAATAACAAAAAAGAACTTATAGAAAAAATAATTTATGTTTCACACATAAGAGATTACTCCAGCCGGTAGAGAATTTTCCCGACATAAATTTGTTATGAGACGGAACTTGTTCCTTGTTGTAGCCGGCGAAAAGTTATGCATTCCTGTATATTTTTAAACTTTGAACGTTAATAAATGGAGGAGGTCCAAAGTTGGCAAAAACTAGGTTTTTAGATCTAGAAGGCAAGGTATACATTTTAGAAAGTTTCAAATAAAAATTGTAGAGAAATTAAAAACCTTTAATCCCATTAATTTTGTCAATTAGTTATTGCAGAAATATTGACATTTCTTTTTAATTTTTTATTGCAAAAATTACTTTTTTAGCGATTTTATAACATTGAAATGATGGCTTTTAAGATTAGAATCGAACTAGTTTTGTGGACGTAAATTGGTCAATTTGTTAGTGAGATATTGTTAATTGTTTATCCCAACAGACATGAATAATTACTGTGATAACTTTTTTTTGGGCAAACGTTTTCGGTTGCATATAGGTTTAATCTCTTCGTAATGGTTGAGATCTTCATATCCGGTTAGGCAAATGAAAAATTAATTTTTAACCCCTTATTTATTGTTGTAAAGAAGGAGGTCCATTTTTTTATAAACAATTAGAACTGGAGCAGCACCTACGTAACATACGAATTTTTAACCAAGACATATGACAAGGTAGCTTTAAAACAAATACTAAAGGGACAAAACGAATCTTCTACGACCACCAGGAACCGAGTTAACATATTTTTCTTAAAACATCACATATTAATTGTTATTATGAAATGAATTTGGCGGCATTCGATGGTTAAATCATTATATTTTGTAGTAGCGTTTTTTTTTTAAAAGTAGTAATTTTCTTGTTATTGTCAAAAAACCTATCTAAAGTGATCAGTAATTCCGGGCAACCGACATAAAATTCGGATTGAGTATTTCAAATGCCTATTAATTTACTTTTTTGTATTTCTTGCCTCCTTTAAGAAGCCACCACTGCTTACATTTACATATATTGACCAATACAAATGAATTATATAAAAAATTTCGTTCAAAGAATCCTAAATAATATTATAAAAGGAACGTACCGATTGCTGAACTTGCAAATTAGTTGAAACTTTTTTTTTGTTTTGTTTGAAAAGAAATTACGTCAATATTTAGCAAATTATGCAGTTCCGGAATATATGCTTAGGGAGGGTTCAAATAGGCACAAATATTTCCTCCCTCCCCCCTTGTAACACGCCGTAACGTTTTTCTGTACCCCTCCTTCCCTTCTCTAAACGCTACGTAAAACTCAACTGACCGTTTTTACCCAAAAGTCGCAAAAGCTATGTTGCGCAAATTATATAGCATGAAGTTCTATAAACTTTTCTTTATTTTTTAGTTTTTTTTTAGCCGTTTTCCAGTTGCGCTGGCAAGTCAGCATGAGAGCCTTTATATAGGCCAAGAACAACTGATGATACAAATCTCCCTCTTTTGAAGACATTACAGTATGAACACTATGAACCCACTTTAATAGCACCAGCTACAGCATAAACACTAACGAATAGTGACAACGAAAACAACATTAAATGACTTATAATACAATCGAGGGATTCCTCGTAAAATGTAAAAGAAAAAGGTTGCCAACTTGGTAGTTTTAATTCCCTATTTTTTAATTTAAAAAAAGAAGCAATGTTACGTAACGTGATGTAAGAAAGACCCCCTCCCGTCGCTGTAACGCATCGTAACGTTTTACCCCCCCCCCAAATTGCGTTACGTAATATCCGAAAGCCCCCTTAGGCGGTGGAGGTTTCTTACCTGCAGGTAATGTGTCTATGAGAGCTATAAGCATTCAGTATTTCGACAATTGAAAAAGGTATTCAGTTTGGCAGTTTTGCAGGAATTCGTTTTTGTAGAGAGAGGAAAGTTGTAGGTCGGCCTGTCTCGTTTTTTGCTATAATTGTTGAGTCAAAAGGGAGAAATGTGTGACTGATGTTGGGTAGAGATATTCTGAGATCTGTAGTCACGTGACCCAACTGTCTTTCATTTTAACTTTTTATCTTCTGACAACACTTTTGGTGCCGTATTCTGGGTTGTTTATCCCGTTTAAGTGATCTAACTAGCATTTTTTAATATTAAAATTATAGTTAAGAAAAGATACCTTTAATGGCGTTAGCCTGTCTTCGAATCCTCTTTGAACTTCTTTGATCTTCTTTAAATTCGTTCCTGTTTCTTTTAATTTATTCTGCGAATCATTTATATTATTTTGAATGTGTTCAACTGTTTTTTTTCTTTGTTCTATAGCTTTTTCTAATTCTTTAAGTTCAGTTTCCTAAAAAAGAAAAGTAAAATAAACAGAATACGTCATTAACCTTCGGCAACAGAATTTGGTAAATAAGTTTTAAGTTTGCGAAAATTATATTTGTTTTTAGTCATTAATAAATTAGTTTATAACAAATTCATACCAGTTCATGAACAGTTGTTACGTCAGGTTCTTCAGTCTCCCTAATTTCATCATATCTTTCTTTAAGCGACGTTAAAGCCTGATTTAATTTTGTGATTTTTATGTCCTGGGCTTTAATTTTTTGTCTTTGTTGTTTTAATTCACCATTTATTTGTTTCTGCTGAATTTCTGTTGATTTCATTTTTTCTTGAAGTGTCTGTAACTGCGTTTCCAACTGCCTAATAATAAATACAAGCTTAGAAAAACTTGAACCGTTTCAACATAATTACATTCCCATTTGGAAATCAGTTACCTTATCATATCACCTGTGCTGACTTGCAGATATTGTGCGTGTTTATAGCGAGAACTATACATTTTATAGTTGGGGTCAGGATAATATTTATCACCTGTAATGGTCACACCTTGGCGACAATTCTCAGGTACATTACGTGCATTTGCCATCAATTCGATTGCAATTTCTGTGGAGGGAAGTAATATAATACTTTCTATGCCCAGTTGATCGATTAAGCAATTAGCCACAACAGGATCCGAAATGTTTACTGACTCATAGATACTAATACAATTATTTCCACATTTAACGATATTTCTAGAGACATCATGAACCTTAAAAGCACATGAATTCAACACATTAAATTATTTTATAAAAAAAAAAAACAATATTTAGTATTAAAATTTCCTTCCTTTCAAATACGCCCAACTGACTAAACGCCGAAAAATATACCTAACATAAAATACACCTTTTATTTTTTTAACTAGCACGCGCTCATCAGTTTACATTGAATTATATCCGTATTTAAGACCAGCAAAAACCGAAAACTATAAACTTGCATGTTCTGGGAGTGCACCAAAACGGTAGGTATAAATATAAAAAAGTAAATATTTAAAATGTAAGATGGTAAATGCTTAAAAAGGTTGGAGAGCTCACTATTAAAAGAATTACTGTTACACACAAAATAATTTTTGTAACTAATTATACGAGGCACATCTGCAAAAGTCGATTTGTTGAAGCTGGTAAGCGATGGTAATGAAATAAAATAAACGCTAAATATTAAAAATTAAATTAAAAATCGAAACTCCTGCGCTCTTACAACAGTGAAATTTCTTATTTTTAATTTGTTCTTCAACTTATTTAACACTCATTTTATTTCACTAGGTTTAATCGCGTTCGTAGGCTTCGACAAAAAAAACAGTTAAACATGTGATTGTCCGGTAGCAGAATGAGGAGCTTTGCTGTATTATCCTAGAAATCCATTATGTCGTGATATAAAAAGCTTATGGTAGTGTCAATAGAATTTGCGATGAGGAAATTATGAAACATCTTTAAGATAAAACACACGTAAAAAATACTTTTAAATGTTTGAAAGAATATTTATTCACACTCTACATTTGTTTCGACCTACTATGTCTTTATCAAGAGTAATGTTATTTGCATAATAAAGTAAATTACGTAAAAAAAATAAATACACTTTTACACAACTTAGTAAATAACATTACTCTTGATTTAGTAGGTCGAAACATATGTGAAATGTTATTAAACATTATTTGAAACTTTGAAAGCATTTTTCTGTTGTATGAAACACTCTGACATTTAATAGTGCTTAATACTAAATATTAATGTGAAAATTCATTTTCAATTTTTTACTCACCATAAATTTCCTTAAGTTAATGAGTGAAAATTAGTTTAATTATTAAAATAGTGGGTAAAAAACTGATAATGAATTTTCACATTTATATTTGCATTTTCTGTGTTTAATTTTATTCTTTAATTTTGCTTTTGGTAGTTTGCATTTTATTAAACGAGTCCTTTATATTCCGTAAAGAATTTTCTTCTTTAGTAGAAAGAGATTATTGATTACGAAAAAAGTATATTTTTAAACAAAAATTGCTCTGCTCATTCATCTGACTTGACGCATTGCTCTTGATGGGTAAATTGTAAATTTATTTTTTGAGTTTCCATTAAGAAAAATAACCACGAGTTCGAGTATTTCACAATAATCATTTCTAATCTTATCTTGTAACTGAAACTGTGCAAAATCCAAAATTCATCCTTGACACATTGAAGAGCGACGAAACACTCTTTGTTTTCCATGCCAGAAACATAATCAGTACTTTTTATATTATGCCAGTTCTTTTTAAACGCATTGAATAGGGAAATAGGCTTGATGTCACCTGTGATAATTTAAATTCAAAAACATTGCACAGAATTAATTCATAAATATAGTGACAACAGGGCAAATAGAAATTCCTTTTTAATTTCTGCTCAACTAAAACCATTGATCCATTTAATCACAGCAAAGTGTTTCAACTATTCCCAACAAGCTTCAACCTTCTAAAGTCATAAAATTGGCTAGCTCTTTTCCAACTTGGGTACTCCCAGGAGTTGTTCAATTTTGTCGCTGCTGCTACTACTACTATTGATAAACGTTCAACAGGAGCGTCTCGAACATTTAACGGTTTTAATAGTCTTCCATCCCAGTGAACAACGACATGGTCGGGGGATTTCTCTTCAAATTGTAATTTTATCGTATTACCACGTTTACCTCTTAAGATACATCGGCATCGATGAAAAGATGACCGATTATTTATCAAATTATTTGTATCATGCCCTAATGACTCTACTACAGCATGTATAACATAAACTGAATCTCTTACACTTAACCGACACCTATCTAACGATGCAACAAGCTTAGACGTAATCAAATTTTACGGCCTCTCTTTTTTGTACAACCTGGATTATTTCAGGTAAATTTGGGATCATTTGAATTGTCTTGTTGCTGTATAGTAGAAGCGGAAGAAAAAGCTGACGTGAAAGGCAATTATTGTTGGCTTTCACATTTCATTTTGCGTTCCAATTCTTGGTTTTTCCTTTCTTGTTGAGGTGTTCTTTCTCTGCCAGTTTTCTGTCGATGGGCCCAAGACAACCTACTCTACTATGCTGCCTTTGATTTATCAAGAATTGTTTATTTTCTTCAGTTCTAATTCTGTTTAAAGCATCTGCATATGCAATACCGAATAAGTCCAAATTATCAGTAAACTCCCTTTCCTTTTGCCTATAATTGTTTTCAACCTATTGTGCATTTTGTTATAAGTACACTTCATTTACTTTCTCTAACGAAATGCCCCTTCCAATGTCTTGCATGCGCGCTGGCAAAATCGTAGGTCGGAAGAAAAAAGCGCATTATACTCCCGACTCTTGTTCATTAAACATACTTTTTCATACAGTACTTGCCAAAAGTTTTGTTCAATCATGAATAGTAGTGCGTCTCGAAAACAAGCGTTAGGTAAAGCCTTTAGTATGTCTTCAAACATAAATAAACATCTCGTTGATATTTTCGGTAGTAATTGGTACCAATAACAGCACATTTGGGCAATGCAATTTTAGTGGATAAAATGGTCAATTTTTCCATGCAGTACTGTACGTATTATACGCTCCACACCGGTTAAGAGTTTGGTCGAAAGTTGTCTCCTTTCTTTTCTGGCCCAGTGCTGTTCTTTTCTACTTTGCGCCGGTCAAACTAAAGGTCTCATCGCTACAGAAACTAAACGACGTATAACGTCATTTTTTAAAGGAATTTCTCAAACGTACAAAAATGGATGCTGCTCCAGATTTCAAATATTTTTACTGGAGCACCTGATAATTTACCTGCAGTTGCACTTAAAATGTCATCATACCTTTTTAGCTGCATTTCCAAGCGGCCAACTTAGTCTTTAAGTGCAGGAGACGTAGTAGTGAGTTTATATATACCGAGCGGTGTAAAAATCTTTATAAGGGTAATCTTGCTAATGAATTACGCGAGTCCTCGACGGAATAATGAATCGTAATCTCTCTCGATAAAGAATAAATCAAGTCGTCGTGTAGTTTTCCCGACTGTAACATCTACTAGAATTCGTCCGATGCAATTGAGACTATGGTGCGTATAGCAAGTAAATTTCCTGCCGGTAGATTTCAATTGAAACTCGAATTTCATTTTTCGGAGTGTATTACTACTAATAATGTCGCACGAGGGTCCAGTGTCTAGTTTCATGCCGAGCTTCACACCGTCGATTTTAGCATTAAGCATTTCTTCATCCATTATTTTCGTTGAATCAATTTTACCCAAACAAATTGTATTGGTTTCTTGTGTAGATTCATCCGCATTTTGAATTTGTTTGTTTTTGCACTTTCTTAACTCTTTGCACCAGCAAAATGCTCTCTTTTTTTGTAGAAGTTGCTTTCACTATCTAAATGTGGTCACACAAAGCGAAAATCTTGTTCACCGCATCATGCGCTTTCGATCCTCCACATAGAGTCATCTGTTTGTATTGTGGCGCCGATGGTAAAACAGCTGCGTTGTTTCCAACGTTGCTGGCGGCGATTAACCTCTTCAGCTGTTCGAAACGTAACCTCGAGGGCGTGTGCGATTTCATAAGCCTCTTTGAATGTAGTCGACTTATTTAATAATTGCGTCGTGCACGCCTCGATTTGACAATCAATACAGCAGCTGTTCAATTAGCATTCAATCTAAGAATGTGTCGTACGTAAGAAACAACTTCTTGCATTAATCGGTGAGCGAAATTAGCTATAAGTTCATCTTTTTTTATACAATTTGACGAAACCCAACTCTTTCTGCGTACTTTTTATCACACTGTCGAAATGATCCTTGACCGTTTTTTCTATCTCAGTGTTTAATTAAAACTGGACCGAACATTGAACAATTTCAGAAACATCTACCTACTTCTTCTCAGAAGCACACTCCTCGCGTGAGTTTGAATCACCAACTCCTTATACCAATTTTTGTATCGTAGGTTAAATAATTAAATACAGTCGATCTATTATTAAAACAATAATTTATTAATACTACATATATGAAACGCTTGGACATTTAATAGTGGTTAATATCAAATATAAATGTAAAAATTCATTTCAATTTTTTACCCACTCTACTACCTACCTACCTCAGGGTAATGAAACAAAATTGGTGGCTGTTATCACACCCTCGCCGATAATGGAACCCGGAACTTTTGGCTTTACGCACCAATGCTCTGACCACTAAGCTTAGTGGTCAGGTAGTTTATAGTGAGTAAAAAGTTGAAATGAAATTTCACATCAATACTTGATAATTTATTAAATTAAATTCAAATATGTAAGTGAATCATCTTAATGCACCATCGTCTCACTTCTTTTTTCGTCTAAAATTTTCTTGTAAACTTTACTCTTATTCTTATTACCTCAGCTGTCGCTCTGTATAACGTCATTATTCTAACACTCTTTTTTCTAACAAGGAAAACTTCCGAGGTGACCGCCGCCATTTTAGTAGCGTTTGTAATGTATTATTCCACATCGAAAATGATAAAATACGTATTTTGCGGAAAAACACTTTTAAGAGGTGAAAGCTAGGCCGGGATTCGTTTCAGCAAGTAGATATCCATTTATTTAAATGGAACTTGTTGAACATACGTAATCCTAAAATATTGCATAGTATTACAGATGGCGTTTACCGCATCATTTGTGGTATTTTATAAAACGTGCTGTCAAGGCAGCAGGTAAAAGTTGATCTGTACTCTGTCGAAACTGTCTGCTACGCGCTAATGAGATCCAAAAAGATCGAAATTGCGATTCGCGTCTGGCAGTTTCGAATTATATCTCTTAAAAGAACGGACTTTAATTTATTTCCGTCATGACAGCTAACACTCGAAATAGCTCATGCAGGGAAATACAACATTACATCGCATCATTCAATCAGACACTAATTAGCAGCACTCATTTTGTATTTTTTTTTGTATCAATGTGATCACACATTATTTATTTGTTAGAACTAAACTGTACACAAATTAAAGATACAAAAGTGTATTATGATAACCAATGAGCAATTACGTTAGTTAAAACGCCGGAATCTATTAAAAGTACGAAACACATGGAAGTACAATTTTATTTTACCTGTGAAAAACAGAAAATGGGAGAAATATATGTCAAATTCAAGTTATTTAACAGAGTCTAGTTTTAAGTACGGCCCTGTTCAATGTTTTAATTTCCTAGAATCACGTATACAGTGCGTGATTGTGTCTACATTTAGTATATCTCTTAAAACGACGGACTTTAGTTGAGGCTGATAATATCACGCATTTCCACCATGACAACTTACGCTCGAAAATTGAACTTTCAAGGCAGGTGTTTTTCCACAAAAAAAGAATACGTATCTCACAATTATGACTTCATAACATTTTATATTGCAATACAGATATCTAAGCCGCCTATAGTAATTTACGATGGGTAATGCAAAGCACTTATATCCTTGTTAACTTCATCCAATTCTAAGCTTTCTATTCTACTCTCTACCACCCTTTCATGACATGTACAACCATTCCTCCTTACTTCCTAAGGCACATTTAAAATTATTATACGATTCTTCTTCATTTGTTGCTCTGCTGTTTTCTTTTTTATACAAATTCATTACCTTCCAAAAATCCTCTATTACCCTAGCCATAATAAATTTCTTTATCACTTCATCATTAAATTCCTTACTTTTTTAATCTGTTCCCTATATTCCATCTTATCCTTCTAAATTCCTCCTCCTAACAATCATTTCTCCACCTTTCAATATTTTTTTAAATTCATTCTTTATTAACATAATGAGCTTTAAAGAATATTTTCTATATGCAATTACAATTAGTCTCAGACAGTAGAGATTTCTTTATATATCCGAAAAATTAAGCTGTTCACGGTGTATATGGAGGTCCAGCATCATTAATATTTGCGTTATACATAATTCACACTACTGCGATTTTACTATACAAAAATTCAGAAATTTCAATTTTTACCTGGAAAAAAAATTTACTGGTTATTATTGTGGGTTGGGAACCAGATGTCCAATATTCATTAAAAATTTTCAATAGTAGCGCATTATCTTTTTGATTATCCACTGCAAAGGCCCGCAAAATACTACTTCCAATAAATCCTTCAACCGCTACTGCCCACTTTTTATCATGAAGTTTTATATAAGAGCCTAGAATTAAAGGAATTAATTAATTAAACATTAGTTAATAATTAGATAAGATCTAAAAAACAGCGCATTTAGCAAGAAAAGAATTCGTAATTTTTCAGGACTACCTTTTTGATAAAAGATTTTTTACCTTAATAGGTGATATTTTCAATATGTATAGAAACTTTTCTATCATAAAGAAATACTTTTACCTAATGGTCCACGCGGCATATGATGAAATTCATTTCTGCGTCTCTCAATAATTTCCTTTATTTTAGGCATATCTCGACCATACAGTACCAGATTGTTCGATTCCGTTTTCATTGAAGTGATTCGATTTTGTAATGAACCTAAAAAATGAATAATATGTTGTTGTCGAAATCCATATTAAAGACCCAAAGCGAGGGTTAATAATTTTCTTGTGTATTTAATTTTGTAATAATTCAATTATGGTTTTTATCGAGTAATATTTTTTATGTTTTGTAATTTTACTTTTTGTTCCTTTAGTGAAATTAATCTTACTATCTTTCGTATATAAAGCGTTTTGAAATTTGAATAACTTCTCAATTTATTTTCAGTGTGAAATAGAAATACGGTAGATTTGCATGTATTAAATATCATTTTGGTATTCATTCATATATATTTAGACCACATTATTATATGGGAAAAATGTTCATTTTCTGCACTGAGCTGAGGTATTTAGGACACCTTATAACGTCGCAAGGATTGATACCAGACCCTCAGAAAGTCGAAGCGATTGTGGCGCGACCTCCACCTACCAATGTAAAACAGTTGTTTACGTTTTTGCAAACCAGCAATTGGTTTTGACGCTTTATACCTCAGCACGCAGAAGTAGCGAAACCCTTAAAGGAGCTGACAAGTAAGAATGTGCCCAACAACAGGCCTACAATAATTTAAAAACGTTACTCACTACCGCTCCAATCCTACAACAGGCCAATTCAAAAATAGCTTACATTATCAAGACTGACGCTAGTGCCTATGGCCTACCTACAAGGCGAAGGACCTGATGAAAGACCTATTGAGTTCGCAAGTAAAACATTGACAGATGCGTAACCGAACGTGAAGCTTAGGCTGTAGTTTTTGCAGTTCAAAAATTTCGAGAATACATAAAAGGTGTATCTTTCAAAATAGCTACTGATCACCGACCACTTCAGTGATTAATGAATCTCAAGTCACCCAGTGAACGATTGGTACAATGGGCTTTACTGTTGCAATCCTATGAAATTCAAATTGACTACATTGTGGGGAAGGCCAATGCAATTGCCGACACTTTACCGAGGCCTACAACACTTGAAGAAGGTACCTGTGATCTTAATCTAGTTAGCGTTATGTTACCACAATGATCTGCCAAAAAAGCAAGAAATGAGCAAGCAGAAGACTCCGAATTAAGTAAAATTTTTAATAGTTTTGAAACGACTGATGATCCGTTCTCCCATAAAAAGTGAACTAATAAGGGTTACTATATGGTCAAGAGGAACCTCGATTGTACCACTTGCACAGGTACCCCAGATTTCAAAAGAATGTCACGATTCACCCTTAGCAGGACATTACGGAATCGATAAGACCTATAAAAGTATTTCCCAGACATACTATTGGCCCTCGTTACATCGTGACGTAAGAAAGTACGTCCAAAAATGCACGGAATGTCAGCGATATAAACCTGATTATATTAAACCTGCAGGATTACTGCAGACGCCCGTCATGGGCCAGAGATTTGAAACTATCGCGATAGATTAGGTTGGTTCCGATAACTGAAAATGGATTTTTACGGCAGAAGATATGTCGACCCGATGGATTGAACTATTTGTCTTGATGCGAGCAATGGCCAACGCGTACGCCGATTGTTTGGTGAACGAAGTAGTGCTACGGTATGGAACCCCGAAAAAAGTGATAAGCAATAATGGTAATCAATTTGTCAGCGAAATTATGCAGTGCGTCACCCATTGTTTGGGATTAAAACAAAGTTTAATTCCGAGTCGAATCCCGTAGAAAGAAATACTACATAGTACTTAACTTTATTTCTTTGTGGGAAAGTAACATACCAGGTTGAAAGAAGCGCTTCCTTCAATTAGGTTCACCATGAATAATGCGATTCACGCAGTTACAGAATATAGCCCTGTCTATTTGACTTTAGGTCGTGAGTTACGGTCGCCAGGGATTGTTGGACGTGATCTTCGGTCAGTACTTAAAAAAGAAAACTTTATCGCGGAGGTAACCCCGAAGTTATTATTGATTGCCGACGTGTTGGAGAAAGCGTGAGAGAATTCGAAAGCGTAACAGTTGCAACAAGAAATACGCCGTCGTCATATGGACCCGTTCAACCCAAGACACAAACTATATTGGTGGATAAAAACGTTCTTAGTAACAGTGCTCGTGGATTTTTGCTAAATTGGCCCCTCGGAGTGACGATCCCTACCGTATTTCCGATGGTGTTTTTAAGACTACCTATATGATATTTCTTGACGATCCTACGAAAATTCTGGGAAAGTAACATGTATCAGCGTTGACACCTTTTGTGGAAGATGAAGGCAACGTCCCCTCTGCCTATCTTATTATTCGGATTATTTTCCATTTTGTCAAACAACCTATTTTGACCTCTGGCTTTACACTTATTGGTAAACTTTCCGACTTCGAGTTATTTACCTATTTTATTATTTTAATTTTTAGTCGGCCTTTTAAAAGATAAGGATAATCTTGATACGTCCTTGGTGAAGGCCAAGGTCATAGACAATAATCATGGGAAAATTACATAGCTATTCTCACTCTACAGATCGGTTTTTAACAATTCCTACAACATTCAACTTTTGTCGATGTTGTGGTTTAGCTTCATAAACCCACAGAGGATTTTCGTCGGACTAATACTTCGAATTACGATATATCGTTAACTGTCCTATAAAAACAAAAAGTTGCTTTATCAGAAAATACCACATTAATAGCAAAATGTTCGTCGACACTGGTCATTTCCATTATTGTATCCATATTAGCACATAAAAAAGAGATAATGAACATACAATACGCAAAGAAAATCTTGTCCAATACTTATCAACTAAAATTATAATTACAATAATAAAAATGTGATAATTAAAGGCAATAAAAGTCCACAGTTTTCAATTATTATTTTAAATAGGTACTCAAGAATAGATAACATGTTTGTTATCCTACTATATTCTTATTAGCAATTATCTTCACGAGTTCAGCCGCTGTCACTCTGTATACTAAATGTAAGTTAATTCTACTTGATCGGCTGTCAACGACGTGCTGACGAGATCCTAGAAAGTTGAAATCGCGATCCGCGTCTAACTGTTTCGACAAAATACTGACCACTATATAAACTGCTTGTCCTGATTAAGATTGCAGTATACTACAAATATCGTTTACGACGCTGCTTGTAGTAATTCAACATACGTTAATATATACCGTGCCTAATAAATACCGTTTAAATTTTCTTTGACTATCAAGTTTAGCTAGTATTATACGAATACTTTCTTTACATTAAAAACTCAAGAAACATATTCTTACCCATCTGTTTATCTATTTGTACTATTTCTGCATTTAAATTACTGTCTTCTTCTTGTTTGTACATTATAGAATTTTGCAACTGAAACTTCTCATTTTGGGTAGTTTTTAAAAGGTCTCGCATACTGTTCATTCTTTTTTCCATCTCTGACAGCTCTTTAAGACGTTTCGCTTTAACTTCTTCAATTTGAGGTAACCTATAAATTGTATTTATTAAAATCTATAAATTGGTTTCCATAACACTCACTTTTCATTTATCTTAGTAATTTCTTGCTGCAAGTTTTGATAATCCAAATTTTTATTTCTAATATCGCATTCGAGAATATTCTTTTCCCTGGTATTTTCTTGAATAGTTCTTTCCAAGGACTCAAGTAATTCCTGCTCCCGATAAAGTGGCCTTGTCTGCTCCTCAATTGTAAGTTGCAGTGCAGCTATTTTATTATGGGTTGAGCTGATTGCATATAATTAAAAATAATCTCATGAATAAAATAACACTAAACTTAGGTGCACAGTAAGAATATTTTTCGCATTATATTCGCTCTGCTTAATATTGCAACGAATTTTGTAATGATGTATTTATTTATGTAAACAAATCTTAACATTTAATTTATTCAACACTATACTTAAGACTTATTTACACTATTACTTATTTATCTAACACTGCATTTAATAACGCTACTTATTTATTTCGCTTTCGCCACTACATTTATTTATTTTGATCTTTTTAGATCCCATCAGCGCGCGCAGGCAGCTCCGACAGAACACAGACCAACCTTTACCTGCTGTCTTAACAGTGCGTTTTAGAAAATACCACAAATGGCGTGGTGAGCGCCATCTGTAGTACGATGCTACCTCCAGCAAGGTCCATTTAAAAATATGGATATCTACTTGCTGAAACGAATCCCGCCTGTCACGTTGAGGTGAGCTACGCATACGTAATCCATTGAGGTATTTTCTTCTAGTCACTTGATTCCAATTAGCTACTCCTGTACCGTCTGATGGGCTATACTCTACCGATCGGTCATATAATATCTAGGTGGAGATCTAAACCAGGGATGTTACGGAGCTACGACTCAGGTTCCGTTAAGTCGGAACTTTCGTTTATTATTACACCTTCGGTTCTGACTTCGGCTCCGACACTTTTAAATCGAAGGTTTTAATCGGAGGTCGAAGCATAACATGGCGGCGGCGCGGCGGCCTGTGTCGACTGTTATGAACAGGTTCATCGTATGAACTTCATACATGTCGCGCGGGGAATCCCCCCGACTCCCACTACGTGCACTGAGCACTCTATCGTCAATTATTTTTTCACTTGTTAATTGGTTAGGCACACGACACGTTCATAGGTTATAGATATTCGTTTTGATTTTTGTGGCTTATTATCAATAAAAGTTATCTGTTTTTGTGTTGGACAATGAAACCTAAATCAAGTTGTGTTAGGAACTACTTCATTGAAGTTAATTCAGATTCGGCAAAGTGTAAACTTTGTATGAAGACGTATTCAAGAAAGGGAGGTACGACAACGTCGTTAAAAGGCCATTTGAAGTTTGTCCATACCACAGAGTATGAAGAATTAATAAAGTTAGAAACTGAAAAAAAATACTGTACAGCCTTCGACTTCGACGCCCCTTCAGGATGCTAAAAAACAAATTACATTAAAAGAAACTTTGATGAAAAATACAAAAGATCTAGCCTTCAATTTTGCGGAAGGTATAGGATTTCGGCGACTTATGCAGTTCACTGTGCCGAATTTTCACTTAAGGGGAAGATATTTTTTTACTGAAAATATTTGTGGTCATTTATATGAAACATTAGCAAAAAAATTAAGGATTTGCTCACACAATTTGAAAAGATCTCATTTACAACAGACATTTGGAGCGAACCAAGTTCGAATGTGTCTTTATTGAGTCTGACAGCGCATGGCATAAATAGAGATTTTGAAAGGCTAAAAGTTATTTTAAAATGCCAAACATTTGACGGAAGATATACAGGAGACCTAGTTCTAGAAAAAATTAAGAGTATATTGATGGAATTGAGCATCATAAAAGAGAAAATTCATTGTTTTGTACGCGACTCTGGATCTAATATGATACGAGCAATGAAACTTGGCGACATACCTAATGTCAGTTGGACTGTACATCAGTTTCAACTGTGTGTACGAACATTGTTAGATTGTAATGAAGAAATTAAAGCCTTATTATCGACATGCAAAAAAATTTCGACGCATTTTAATCATTCCCAAATAGCTCAGACTGAACTGCATAAAATACAAAAGGAACAACTCAACCAAGTATGTTTGAGTGTAATACAGGAGTGTAGTACGCGGTAAGTTGTATTAATTTGTGCATTTATTTTTACCTCCAGATTATTTCGTTTCTCAGTTGTCTCCTGAAGAATGGCTGCAGCTTAAAAAAATAGTTCACTTCAATCTTTTGAAGAAATTACCCGAAATATGAGTGACAATAACACCAGTATCTCATCAGTAATTCCACTTATACACACACCAAACTATACATTACACACTGAAGGCAGTAAACAAGACACAAATGAAAAATTTAAAAGTATAATAAAATGTACCGTCGATCAATTAAATTCCATATTTGGTGACCTTCAATCAAACAATTTCTTTGCAATAGCAACATATCTAGATCCTCATTATAAAACAAAATTTTTTAATGAAGTGGTTAAAGAGGAGATTGAAACAGAAATAATGTCACTATTTGATGCAGATACATCTAAAAACGAGGCTGACAATATTTTCATTCCTGTAGAAAAGCAGGCAAGAATGGACTTACCAGCAGAAGCTAGCCATAGTAATGTCCAACCAATTTTGTCGAATATATTGTTAAGTAGTGATAAAGACGATGATAATANCGACTCTGGATCTAATATGATACGAGCAATGAAACTTGGCGACATACCTAATGTCAGTTGGACTGTACATCAGTTTCAACTGTGTGTACGAACATTGTTAGATTGTAATGAAGAAATTAAAGCCTTATTATCGACATGCAAAAAAATTTCGACGCATTTTAATCATTCCCAAATAGCTCAGACTGAACTGCATAAAATACAAAAGGAACAACTCAACCAAGTATGTTTGAGTGTAATACAGGAGTGTAGTACGCGGTAAGTTGTATTAATTTATGCATTTATTTTTACCTCCAGATTATTTCATTTCAATCAAAGATCTATCCACACTAATACAATAAATTCAAATAAAACCACTGTAGTGTTTTCGGTAGTTTTTGGTATTGCGCGATGAATTAACAGAAAACACTAACATAGAATTGGTCTCTAAGATTTTAATAAACACACCAACAGTAACAAGACAATCACAAAACAATAGGCGAATGATGAGAATAACGTAGATAGAAAATCTTAGAAAAGAAGAGTTAGAAAGAATAGGAGAACAGAGGACTCTATGAAAGTCAATAAGAAATAGGCGAGATAGGTTGGTAGGACACCTTCTCAGGCAAGAAAGTTTAGTCAGAGACATATTAGAGGCAGAAAAAACAGTTAGGAGGGATAGAGGTAGACCTATATTAGATTACTGTTCAAATAGTAAGGATATGGGTTGTTCTAGTTTTAGGGAAATGCACAGTTTAGCTGGCGGTTAAATTAAAACAACTTCACAAATATATAACTGTTACAACAGCTAGGTAGATTACGATTGCAGCTACATGGTACCGAAATTAATTTTGGTTTATAAGATCGGCCAATGGATATAATAACTTGTCGCGATACTAACTAGACACTAGCCGAGATAATAACTTGACCGGTCAACATAATACCTTGGTCATCGACATAATAATAATAACTCGACCGATAGAGATAAAAAAATTATAGTGATTCTTCAACGCTTCCACATCTCGTAATACTCACGTCTCTTCTTCTTCTTAAAGAAATATTTTGAACTATAAATAACTTCAATAAAAATCCTTTTTATCAGTCGTCTTTCTTTTGCGTTTCCAGTCGTATACAAGCCGAACGATCTGCAGCATTTGATAGATCAATTTACTATATATTTCGCATATTCTCTATCTAGCTATAAAGTAAATACAGGCAAAAACATGTGAGAGAGACAAAGCGATCGTGCGGCCAGAAGTTTTTTCTAGAATTTTGATTGGTCTACGTCACAGACTTGAAGGGGCGGAAGAATAATGGAGAGAGACAGGTTTTGGCCACATGATCGTTTTCTGTCTATCTTTAATTATATTTATCACGCCTTTAAAATATAGATTAAAGAGTGGCGGTGAGGCTGTGCATTTTTACAAGACTCTCTTCCTAATATTTACTTCTCTACGTTGCTGCTGAATATCTACGAGGGTGGATTGATAAGTTTCCGGCCTGACCAAGAAAAACAAGGTTTTTAAAAATTTTTTTTTTTTATTTCTCAACATAATCTCCTCCAAGGCTGATACATTTCTCATAGCGGTGTTCCAGTCTATTAATGCCATCTCTATAGACTGATTCGTCAAGCTCCT